TCATCATTGTCGGATCACTGGCCATTCACCCCATACACAAGAAGCAGCAGTATGTTCCTGCCCTGGCTCTCCTAAAAGTCCCCTAGTTCCTCTAGAAGCAGGGGTGGGTGAATGGGTGGGTGGGTGGATGTGGATGTGTGTGTGTGTGTGTGTGTGTGTGTGTGTGTGTGTGTGTGTCTAATCCTTAGGTAGAAGTTATCTGCTCCCTAAGTTCTTCTGAAAGGCATACCACACTTCCTGGAGGTAAATACTAGCACTATAAGCATTTAAGAAAACGTAGGGTATTTCTACTTCCAAACCCCAACCCTTAACTCTCAAACCAGTTCCCAACACGCCTCCTCCTTTCTGAAGGACTGAGGATTTAGTTCACTTGCTGGATTCACATCCTACTGTTCCACGAGGTTACTGACCACAGCTTCTCTCATAGCCCGGGACACTGGTTCCCCCGATTCCACCTCACAGACTGGCCCTAAAGCAAGCATATAAGTGTTTTCATTTTAATGGATTTTAATGGATTTTTAGTGCTAGTCACTCCAAGTCTCTCATCTCCAAAACAAAAACAGAGTGAAGTCTGCACTCGAGAAGCCACCTCTTTGAATTCTCTTCACAGAGAGCTAAAGGATAGGCCACCATCGCCTCATGCTATCACTTCTCTTTCATGAAGCCCTGGGGATGGAATTCATCATTCATTCCTCCAAATCTTTCAGAGCACAGCCTTCCAATCAAGGTGACATATAATAAATAACACTACTGAATACTCACTGCATTGTTGGCACTGTTGTAAGTACTTTAACTATACTTTATTTAATCTTTACAAGTAGGTAGGTACTATTGTAGTACATACTTAATTACCATAATTTTACAATGAGGATTTCACTCTGCCCAAAGTAAAACAGCTATAGCAAGAGATAAAGGCACTAAACCTTTCTCTCTGGTAGCCCTTCGTCCTATCAGAATATCCCAGTAGTTCAAAAAATGAGGTGTTGAGAATGAGGTTTGAGAATACTCAAAATCCGTATTCAGTTAAAGTTCTGTGGAAACTCCAACCTGATATCCACAATATCAATGTTCCCACCTTATCCAAGGAGTCAGCCAACTCAGGATATTGTCTGACAAGCATCATCCCTATTTTCTACTAGGAAAGAACCAGCCCAGGGGCACCTGGGTGGCTCAGTCAGTTAAGCAGCCAACTTTGGGCTCAGGTCATGATCTCCCGGTTCGTGAGTTTGAGCCCCGTGTCAGGCTCTGGGATGACAGCTCAGAGCCTGGAGCCTGCTTCAGATTCTGTGTCTCCTTCTCTCTCTGCTCCTCCCCTCCTCACTCTGTCTCTCTCTCTCTCAAAAATAAATAAATGTTAAAAAAAAATTTTTTTTTTTTTAAAAAAGGAAAGAACCAGCCTGATTCAGTAGGTACATGAGCCACCACGGGGCAGCATTCACATCTTGCATGTGCTCTAGACAGGGCTCACCTCAGAACAGGTGTTTAGCCCCTATACCTGAAAGTATAAGTAGGGGTGTCTGGGTAGCTCAGACAGATAAGCCACCAACTTTGGCTCAGGTCATTATCTCACCGTTGGTGAGTTCAAGCCCTGCAGTGGGCTCTATGCTGACAGCTCGGAGTGTGGAGCCTGCTTCAGATTGTGTCTCCCTCTCTCTCACCCCTCCCCCACTCATGCTCCGTCTGTCGGTAGATCTGTCTGTTTCTCTCTCACAAAAATAAATTTTAAAAAGGTGGGGGCGGGCCCGCCTGGGTGGTTCAGTAGGTTGAGCATCTGACTTCCGCTCAGGTCATCATCTCAAGTTTCATGGGTTCAAGACCCACGTCGGACTCTGTACTGACAGCTCAGAGCCTGGAGCCTGCTTCGGATTCTGTCTCCCTCTTTCTCTGCCCCTCTCCCACTTGCATTCTGTCTCTCTCTCTCTCTCTCTCTCTCAGAAATAAATAAACATTAAAAATAAAGTAAAAAGAAAGGAAACTAGAAGTAATCAGGGACTTTCCTAAGACTAAGCAGCAAATGGCAAAACCAGGAATTTCCCAATCTTTACTCGAGGTATCAGCCACTGCCTGCATCCACTAGAGGTGAAGTAGCTTCACAGAAGAGAATTCAGTCTAGTCCCAAAAGAATTTACTGAGTCTGCCTACTTGCACAAACTAATAATACAGATGAAGAAGTTTAAATAAACATGACTACCTCAGGTTCCCTTTCAAATTATTTTAAACAAGATGGAACACGCTTGCACCTTCATGAGGAGGATCCAGCTCCAAATTGACAGGATTTCGGGAAAGTGATTGAAAATCACATTTTTCTGACATCTCCCAGAATGAGAATTCATTGCAAGATCCTTTTCTCAATGAGCAGGAGCCTCCTGCAAATTAATGCTGTCTATCTCCTGTTCAAGCCCTGAACCTCCTCAAGCAGCACGTCACTCATATCTTCTTCATTTCCTTTCCTGTCGAACCATACAAGCCTCATGAATACGACCTAAGTATAAAATGAAACTTGTAAGACAGACTCCTATAATCTTCTTAAAACCCAAAAGGTAACTGCAACCTTGCAAAGTAAATGGATTTCTTGCTGGCTTAATAACTAACATTTATCAAGACCTTATAATGGCACAGGTATAACATAAGACAAAAAGGGAGGCCCAAAATTACTAAGTTCTGGTACTTGCCTTGAGAAGCTCACTGTTGAATGGAAGCAGTGCAGATTCTGAGTCTTCCTTATCAACAAACAAAATAAACATCATTTTCCCCAGGACTTTTTCATATATGCCCTCACCTACAGAGAGCTATTGCCAAAGTATTAAGCTCACCAGGCCTCCTTACTTCCAGATGCCTCACAACACTTCCGTGTGCACACTCCACAATCAACTTGACCTCAACAAACCAGATCTCTCCCCTATTCCTCTTTCCATAATCACCCCAACCCTTAAAAACACGTGTTCTACTTTTTCTAATCCACATTCTGGTCAATGAAATTCCCATTCACCCAATCTCTCAAAATACAAACCTTAGCCTACTCTCCTCCTAGTCACTAAGTCATGTTGCAGATCTCAGAAATATTTCTAAAATCCATACCCCCTCCTCTTCATTCCCAATGCCACACTTTATTCAGACTCCGGGTCAACTACAGTAACTAGTTCACTGCCTCATTTATCACTACTTTTAATCCACACATCTGTCACTCCCTAACATAAATAACTCCAATGGCTCCCTATTCTCCTTTCAGTCTTAACTCCTGGCAATTTCCTCCCCCCACACATCCTATCTGGGACAAATTTCTAATACTTAAACATCATGTTATTTCTTGTCTTCACACTTTCACCATGCCTTTGGGCATACTGTGCTCTTGAAGTGGAACAACTTATTTGTACAAGCTCCTACTCATCCTTCAAAACCCAAGTATCTCCTCCCTGCAAAAACACCCTTGACTCTCCTCACAATGGCAATATTCCCTTCACACTGTATAAATTTCTTTATATGGATTATAACACAACGCACTATAATTTTCATATGAAATGTGTTTCTCTGATGTCCTTGAGAAAAGATACTCATATTTCTAACCCCAGTACCAGTTACATACTATCTACTCAAATGTGTGTGGAATAAACAGTTCACCTTCATATATCCTGGACCTATTTGTGATTTCCCCAAATCTTATGGATTTTTGAACTTGACTCTATGTGAGACTTAAAGTTTCATAACTGCTTTGAGTTTTCAAGGGTTTTCTAAAATTATATTACACAAATGTTGAATGAATGGGTGAATTATGTCTAAACATCCAATGAAAAAAAACATAGGGCACCTGGGTGGCTCAGTCAGTTAAGCTCTTGATTTCGGCTCAGATCTCAATCTCAGGGTCCTGAGTTCAAGCCCCAGCTTGGGCTCTGAGCTAGGCCTAGAGCCTACTTTAAAAAAAAGAAAAGAAAAAAGTCATAAAGGCTCCCCAAGTGACTAAGAATGGGAATTCCCCCTTTACAATCCTAACAAGAAGGATCCACCTCTCTCTAGACTGAGAGACTTGATATTCCAAAAACTTGCACACAGGAAAGTACTACGCACACAAATTCAGCTAAAACACACCCAAAATAATGCCATTAACTTGTCCTTAAGACAGGGACACAAACCATACTTGTCCTGGTTTACTAAGTCACTGGGAACTCAGAATAGCAAAGAACAGTCCTCACTACGCTCAAAACTTTTTCTGGAGAGAAAGAAATGGGGAAGGTTTGATGATCCAGCAACATTTTTCGGTCTGGCCCAAGTTCGCACCTCCCCAGTCTCGCACTGCCCTGGCTTCTGACAGCACTCCGTCCTCAGAGAACCTTTTTCTCCTCGTATTTCTTCCCCACGCCTGCCTGGGAACAGGCTCGTTTCCCAGGCTCGCACCAAGTAACCCCGAGAAAACAAGGTAGCTTCACTGACTCTGTGTATAAGGTGGGCTGCAGCCCATCAGAGACTGAAAAAAGGGGCAGGATGAGGACCCTTCCAGGACAACTAAAGACTTCAGGTAGACGGGCCTGCCTCTAACCATTCTCAGAGGTCCTGTGCAACGCCCTCATCCCAGGGTCAGGCTGGCCTGGGCAGAGGGCCTCCCAGGGTTGGGGACGAGCTGAGGGGGAGAGGGTCCAGAGGCAGCTTGAGGCGATACGATCAGCCCCATGCTGGGGTCAAAGGTCAGCATCCCGGCAGCTAGGAGGGCCCGGCAGGGAGTGGGAGGGCCGTGACCCGCACCGGAAGGTCCGAGGGACGGGCCGCTGGAGGAGCGAGCTGCTTCTAGCCCCCTCCGCCGCCCGGGCCCAGCCTCCTAGCCGCACGCGGCCTCGGCCCGCCTCAGCAGCTGTCCTCTCTCCCTCTCCCCCCCGCCCCCCGTCACCACCGTCGTCCCCCGGGCGAGCGCAGGCCCCGCCCCCAGAGCCGCCTCGGGGCCAAGGCCTAGTCCGGCAGGAGCTGCAGGGGTTGGCTAGGTTCGGGGACCGGCCCGGGCCGGCGCCGCTTACCGAGCCCCGGGCTCCTCCTCCACCACCCGCGCTGCTCCCGGACCCGCTCGCTCCCGACACCACCGACGCCGCTGCTACTCTCGGCTCACGGACGCGCTCCCGACCTCCCCCGACCCTTCCCCCGGGCCACGGTGCCCCGCCGGGTCCTAAAGCCCGCCGTGTGGTAGGTACGTCCACGCCCGTCTCCTGAGCCTGGCTCAGACCACGGCTCCCAGCAAGCATCGCAAAGACTACAACTCCCGAAACGCACCGCGAGAAATAAATCACCCAAAGAAACCTCTATTGAGAGTCTACTGGATACAAGATAGAGTAGAAGATTTTAAAATACAGGCGAAATATACATACACGCTTCGTAAATACAGCGGACTCTGAACTCGGCAATTCCACTTATAGGAATAAAGATATATGTTCATTGCAAGTTTGTAAATGAAAAATTGGAAATAAATCCATTCAACAAATAGTATTGTGTGCCTAGTATGTTCAAAGCAACATTGGTTAACTGGGCAAGTAACTCCTCTGAGTCTCAATTTTCGCTATAGGAAATGGAAAGTTAAAAATAAGATGGGCTGGGGCGCCTGGGTGGCTTAGTCGGTTAAGCCTCCGACTTTCGCTTAGGTCATGATCTCGCGGTTCGTGGGTTCGAGCCCCGCGTCGGGCTCTGTGCTGACTGCCAGCTCAGAGCCTGGAGCCTATTTCGGAGTCTGTGTCTCCCTCTCTCTCTGACCCTCCCCTGCTCACGCTGTCTCTCTCTCTCTCTCTCCTAGAAATAAATAAAAATATTTTTTAAAAAAATAAGATGAGGGGCGCCTGGGTGGCTTAGTCGGTTAAGCGTCTGACTTTCGCTTAGGTCATGATCTCGCGGTTGGTGGGTTCGAGCCCCGCTTCGGGCTCTGTGCTGACTGCCAGCTCAGAGCCTGGAGCCTGTTTCAGTCTGTGACTCCCTCTCTCTCTGACCCTCCCCTGCTCACGCTGTCTCTCTCTCTCTCTCCTAGAAATAAATAAAAATCTTAAAAAAAAAAAAAAATAAGATGGGCTGCTGGGGCATCTGGGTGGCTCAGTGGGTTAAGCCTCTGACTCTTCCTTTCAGCTCAGGTCATAATCTCAAGGTTCCCAGGTTCAAGCCCTGCTTTGGGCTGCCTGTTGATAACACAGAGCCTGCTTGGGATTCTCTCTCTCTCTTTCTCTGCCCCTCCTCCACTGTGCTCTCTCAAAAATAAACAGTTTAAAATAAATAAACAAATAAATAATCAGACTGAGTTATCAAGGGCAGGCTTAGGAAGGCTCAAGGTGTAAATACTCTGAAAATTTAGACAAGGGAAAATACCGTGTCAATCTCTGGGGGCTTCCTGGGGGAAAGTAAAGATAGGGTCAAGTCTTAGAGGAGAGGGTGTATGGGTGAAGCAACATAACACACTGTCCATGCCTATGTCAAGGAAGTTAATTAAATACAGATTCAGACAAGGGTTAAGTTGAGAAGGCCATACACTGAGTAGGTAAGAGCACAACCTCTGGAATACTGTGAGATGGATCCTAAGACTGCTACCTATTTGCTATATGTCTTTGGACAATTACTTGAACTCTTTAAACCTTAGTTACAGAGTGCCTGGCTGGCTTAGTCAGAAGAGCATGAGATTTCTTGACCTTGAGTGGTGATTTCAAGCTCCACATTGGGTGTAGAGATTACTAAAATTAAATATGCTTAAATAAATAAATAAACCTTCATTTCCTATCTGAAAAACAGGGATAATAAAAGATGTATATCATATTGTTTTGATTATCCAGCCTGGAACCCTTCCTCTCATATTCTGGGGACCTCTTCCTTTGGGTATAGCCTTGGTAGAAAACCAGACTTTGAGCAGCCAAGGTAAGTGAGTTCATATGACCCGACTCTGGGCACTAGGTGCAGCCTCCAAGGCTTTGACTCTTGGCCAAAAGATGCAAAGATGAATGGATGGTCAAAATTTACTTATAACAAGTGTATCCTGGTCAGGTGGTTCCTGCTCAAAAACAGACGTGCTTCCTATTTCTCAGCTTTCAAAGAGTGTCTTGCTTCCTGCTCATTTTCTAAGCCTTCTCCTCCTGTCTCCTACAGGTTCTGTGAGCCCCTTATGTTCTAATAAATTTCAGTTTTCTTAAGATGGCCTATTTTTGTAACTATTCTGTAACCCTTAGCTAAAAGTTTCCTCAGTGATATCACTCACACAGACTTGTGGCCACTCAAGCTTACTCATTCCTTCACCAAACATCTATTGAAGTCTTTCTTTGTCCAGGCTCTAATCTAAAAGTGAGGATACAGGGCACCTGAGTGACTCAGTCAGTTGAGTGTCCGACTTCGGCTCAGGTCATGATCTCACAGTTCATGAGTTCAAGTCCCGTGTAGGGCTCTGTGCTGACAGCTCAGACCCTGGAGTCTGCTTCAGATTCTATGTATCCTTCTCTCTCTAACCTCTTCCCCACTGGTGCTCTGTCTCTCAAAAATAAATAAACAAAAAAAATTAAAATAAAAAAAATAAAAGTGAGGATGCAAAGATGAAAGAAATCCTGTGACAACTAGAAACAGCTAAAGGAGGAGCAAATTGGAGAGGAAGGTGATGTTTGAGAACATGTTGAGATTGAAATGTCTGTGAGACATTCAGCCAGAAATATGTAGTAGACATATGGGTACCCTTTACTGGAGCTCAGCAGACATCTAGGCTCTAGATAACCTTAGTGGTAATTGTTCAAACCATGAGAAAGTAATGGTCTAAGAAGAGGGCAACAAAAAGAAAGAGTGAGCATGAGAGAGAGAGAAAGAGAGATCGGGCCCATAATAGAGTTTTAATACCAACATTTATTGATGAACCAAGTGCTATCTAAAAGAGAGGAAACTAACAGGAGAAAGATGCCATGGAAATATTAGGAGGAAATAATAGGAGGGACTATCAAGGAGGCTGTCAAACTTCTTAGAGAGAAAAGGAAATAAAAATATCCTTGAAGACATTAAGAAAATCTACTTCAGATAAGTAGTGGTTTGAGGAATGAATAGGGGAGAGAGTGGAGGCAGCAAAGGCTAGAGGATCTTTGCAAGAAACCTGATTGAAGGAAAGAGGAGAGGAAGCCACTGTGGTAGTGGTGCTGGGAAGATGAGGATGGAAGAGTTAGTTCTAAGACAGGACAGCCTGGAGAGTGTTTCTATGCTGAGAGCAAGAGGACAGAGTGAGGCTGATGCAAATTCTCACTGAAGTTGTTGGGGGAAGGAGGGAGAAGCAGTCTCATGAAGAGGGACTGGACTTGGAGGGAGGAGGAATACCACAACACCTGAGAAGGCTGTCAGAGGTGGAAAGGACCCCTGCATATCAATGTGTAGATGTTGCTAGAGAAATTGCATACAGTCAGTGCCTCTATGTTTTGGGGCACCTGGGTGGCTCAGTCAGTTATGCATCTAACTTCAGCTCAGGTCATGATCTCACGGTTTTTGAGTTGGAGCCCCACCTCAGGCTCTGTGGAGAGCCTGAAGCCTGCTTTGGATTCTGTGTCTCCCTCTCTCTCTGCCCCTTCCCCACTCACGTTCTGTCTCACTCTCAAAATTAAATAAACATTTAAATTTTTAAAGTATGTTTTAATTTTTATTTCTAGCAGATTCTTAGTTTTGGTGATGAATTGTTGATATAGTAAAGTGGTATGGTGCAATGGTGCAGGACTCAGATTGTCTGCGGTTGAAATCTCGCCTTTACCTCTAACCGCTGAATAGCTGTAGATGTTGGACAGTTTCCTTAATCTCTCTGTGCTTCATTTTCCATATCTGTGTTAGGGTCTTGTTGCTGGGGGGTAGGGAGAGAGGGGTTGGTGGGGGAGTTACACAAGTGCCATAGAAGTATTAAACTGTTATTATTGTCCACTAGATCGTCAATTCCATGAGGTTGAAGTTTTCTATTTTGTTCAGGGCTATCTACTCAGCCGGGCACTTAGGCGCTCAATAAAAATTTCATGACTACCTGAATGAAGGAGTTGGAGTGGGGGAGAGAGGCTTGGAGGGAAGGAAAGCCTTGAGAGTGTGACATGAAGTTCAGGGCTCAGACTGGGAGATTCCAGACTAAGGCTCTTGGCTTCCTGGGAGCTGGGGCATCGGGCCTACATCCCTATCTAAAGAGCGTGAGCATGGCTGACAAGGACTAACGCACTGAGCTCCTTGGGCGCTCGGGAGCCTCATCCCCCGCGAGACTCCCGTGGCTCCTCCCCTGGTGGGCGGGGTCGCGCCGGCGGGGCGTGAAAGAGGTGGAGCCATGAGCTCTCCCGGCTGGGCGGTGTAGGGCCGCCTCTCAGGCCTGGCGTCCGCCCACCTCATCGACGGGGGACGGAAGTCTCAGCCCGGCTCTTCTCCGGGAACCCTGACCGAGCGCCGAGTCTCGCCCCACGGGGCGGCCAGGCCCGTGCGTGCCCCGGCATCGGCGGCACCATGAAGCGTATGGGGACTCTGCGCCTGCTTTCGGATCTCAGCCACTTTAGCGGCGCGGCCCGGCTCCGGGAGTTACTGGCCGCGGATCCAGCCGTAAAAGTCCGCTGCAGCCCAGACGGCCGCCACCTGCTGCTCCTGCGACCCCCGGGGGCGCCGTGCCCTCAGCTACTGGTGGCGGTGCGTGGCTCCGACGCGGAGCTGGAGCGTGCCTGGCCCGCTGGCCACCCCTCACCGCTAGACGCCTTCTTCCTGCCGTGGCCGGCGCGACCCGCGCTGGTCCTGGTGTGGGAGAGTGGCCTAGCCGAGGTGTGGGGCGCGGGGGTGGGGCCTGGCTGGCGGCTGCTGCGGAGTACCGAGCTGTGTCCAGCCGGTGGAGCCCGCGTGGTGGCCGTGGCGGCGCTCCGAGGCCGCCTGGTGTGGTGCGAGGAGCGTCAGGCTGGCGCGGAGGGCCATCTGGGGCCGCCTGCTGCTTTCAGCCATTGCGTGTGCGTCCGAACCCTGGAGCCCAGCGGAGAGGCCGGCACCAACCTGGGCCGCACACATGTCCTGCTGCGCCACTGCCCCTCTTTCGGGCTGCTGGCCTCCCGCAAGGACCTCTTCCTGGTACCCACTGCCGCCACCTGGCCTGGTGTGGGTCATATTCTACTCATCTGGAGCCCAGGCAAGGGCAAGGTGATGGTGGCTGCCCCATGTCTTGGCCTCTCCCACAGTAAGAACCTGAATCCCGGACGAGGGGACACATGGGACTTCCGGACACTGCTCCGAGGCCTTCCTGGGCTGCTCTCCCCCACGAACCCATTGACTGTACATACCTGGGCCCCAACTCCCCAGGGCCTGCTATTG